TTAGGGTCATTATTATTGCATTTATAAATGATATAACTTGTTATTTAAATGCAGATTGATGAAGATTTTCTGCAAAATATCTACTTCAGAAAAACTAAAGAGGATGAAAAAGATATAATAACATTCGTAATTAGTGTAGGAACAATATGTAGTAAATTCTTTAAAGTGTTTTATTATCCTTGTTTAAATTACTTACATATGGGAATAATACACTGAAAAACTGTATTTTGATAGTATCATACACAAATTGCAACAACAATTGTTGATTATAAGTTCTTAGTTAATTACTGAAGTTAGTTCTGATTTTAGCACAGTGTCATACGGCCCACTATGAACGATTGGAACTACTTTACTGTCAAAATCATAGAATTCTGGATAGAAAAAAGACGAAAAGGTTTAGCAAGCGGTATTTTAAAGGTAATGGGATTACCTTTTAGGGAAAAATACCGCAAAATGCGCTCGATTTATTAGGCTGCTCTCAGGGAACGTTTAAACCTCGTTTTTTTCGATTTTTTCGAATGCCACTATTTTTCCTCATCTGATTATTAAATAATACAATTTCTTTTAGAAAGTGGATTAAAAAATTGAGTGATTGGCATTCGAAAAGTTCAGTGTTCATAAATTTAGTTTCTAACAGTGTTATATCAAATTAATTTTTCCGTTTTCATTCAAGTTCATAAAAAAATATTTTTATTAAAGTATACATTAAATGTTGGATAATTTATTAAAGTTTTAGACTGAAATACACAAATGTTTGATTTTTAAAGATTTTTTTGGACTCCACTTAATTTTTACTTAAAAGGTAAGTCTCAAAAAATCTAAATATTTCGTTATAACAACGGATATTTATACCGAGATTGAAGCATGAATATGTTTTTATGTAGGGGTAATAGCTTTTAGAGAAAAGATAACCTGACTTTACCTCATAATCGAGTTCAAAATCTCTTTCTCTGAAATAACTGATTTAATGTATAATATAAATTATAAACATTTTCACTTTACAAATAAAATGGCTATATTGGGGACAATGTATATTTCTGAGTATATTATTTTTATTTTTCTAATTTTTGAGAATAGGATCATCCAATCTGCATGAATGCATTTTCTACTAGAGGTCATACTTGAGTTACAATTACCGTTCAATTAGAGACATTATATTACGCTGAAAAATGAAGTCCCGTTATAGGTTTATCACTCAAGATATAATAGGTCAAATAAATTTTACCAAAATGGAAATTGAATATTTTTCAATCTACTTTCTGAAAAAAAAAATTGTATTTTTTAGTAGTCAGATGAGGAAAAAAGTGGCATTCGAAAAAATCGAGAAAAATTGAAAAAACCGAGGTTTAAACGTTCCCTGAGAGTAGCCTAATAAATCGAGCACATTTTCGATATTTTTCCCTAAAAGGTAATCCCTTTACCTTAAATAAAATATCGCTTGCTAAACCTTTTTATCTTTTTTCTATACAGAGTTCTATGATTTTGATACTAAAGCAGTTCCAATCGTTCATAGTGCGACCGCAACCCATATACAAGTCCACTGTCATTTTATTATTGAAAAAACAGTGTTATTAAGTAAAAAATAAATTTCATGTTCTGCAATATGTAACATTGACGTCATCTGCGAAAAATACACTTAAAATATTATTGTGAAAAATTTTAGTTTGATTATTTATACAGGGTATAAATAAAACAACTATACTGCAGATAGGATATACTGTAATGTGTCAAAAATGTCTGCCTAATATAGGTTCTGAAATGATGAAAATGGAGTTACAGCCGTTAAATGAAAAATATAAATGAAAAGAAAAAATTATAATTAATGAAAAACTTATATAAACAAAAGCTAAAGTTAATTACGAGTATTTGTATTAATTGCTAATGCAGGTGTTTAGAATTATGCTGCATTAAATGTGTTGAAAGTAGTGCTTTTAATTAAGGTGGATTCATTCGTCAGCCTAAAGATTATAATCTAAAACACTATGATTCTCCAAAAAATACCTGTACAACTATATTCAAGGAAATTGATAATGTGAGACATGACTGTTAAAAGCCAAAATATATTATTGTCGATTACTTCAAAAATACTAT